TTGCAGCTAAGGACAATGGTTGTGAGAGCTGTGGAGCTCTCCAGGAGAGGCTGTCAGCCTTACATCAGCTGCCCCTTTTGCACCTTGACAGCCACCAATGCATTGAATGGTCACAGAACGGCAGCTGTCAGCTAGCAGCTAGGGCTTTTCTTTTGGATTGAAGTGCCTGTGGTGTGCTTGAACATGGTGCTCCAAGGTACTCTCTAGCTCCAGATGCTGGGCTACGAAGTTTCTACCTGATGCTGATTTGTTCCTTTGTGCCTGGGATTAACTAATTATTCTCGGGGCGTTGGGGCTCAGTCAGCAGAGAACAAAGAGCTTGAACGCACGGTATCACTGTGTCCTTTCATTGGGATTGTGACGGGGGGGCGAGTGTATGTATGGTCTACTAAGATGCCTTTGGGCGCTCGGGGTGGTCGATCGTTTTTCCTTCAGATCGGCTCTAAAACCTGACAAACCATTTCCGCACAACCTTGGGACAGGGTCATCTAGATTGCTTGGGAGAGATGCAATGAAGCTATTTTAAATCAGTTCATGCCATGCCGTTTTTCCTTTCACAGCGCTACATGGGATACATATCACACAGCCCGCGTCTCACGTAACCAGGTACTGCTACCGCTCCCCTGGGCGGTCCTAGCACGTGTGCTTTGGCAATTGGCCGAGCCCACCGAGAGCTTTCTGCAGCATGAGGCACGGCATCAGCGGAAGCACATCGCGGAGATGCTTGGAGCTGAACTTGTTGGGACACCATGGGCTCCTGGCACTACTAGGAACAAGGACGCTACTAGGAGCAAAGGGCATCGCTACTAGGAGCAAGGACGCTACTAGGGGCTCCTGGCCTTACTACTAGGAGCAAGAATGCTACTAGGGGCTCCTGGCCTTACTAGAAACGAGAAGCTAAATGGGTAGACATAGTAGACATGGCGCCTTTGCGTTGCTGTGCGCGGTTGTAGGGGCGACTTGAAGGAGCCGGCAGTATCCAGATCGCATAGAGTTGTTTGGAGCTGCAAGGAGTTGTTTGTTGCTGGTAAAAGCTTGCAGATTACATGTTTGGGCCAATCCCTGGGCCCTCAGCATCATCATCCATTGTTCAGTGGTGCAAGAGGGAACCGCGCAGACATTCAACTCGCATAACATTCCAGCTTTTTTGAACTAAACAAGCGTGAATTGCTGTGATGATAGGATAGATCGTTAGCAACCTCAGAAGCGGTTGAACGACTCATGCTCATCTCCCAGTGTGGTCAGTCCAACTTTTGGCAGTTTCTCCAGTCCAGCATTTCCAGAAACTAGAACTTGTTTATATCCGCTGGTGCAATTCCCACGTTGGGGATTAGCGGCTGGGTGCTCCTAGATGCAACGCCCATCGCTGCATGCCAGGCTTCCAAACCCTGACTGCTAAGGACCTGGACGGGCACTGCAAACCTCCATGGTCCTTTGTCTATCCAAGTGGTGAACATGGCTGGACAGTGCCGAGCCATGGCAGCAGCACCTTTCAACCAGGGTACGCTGTTGGTGCCTTCGTGTCATGCAAAGATGAATTGTGCAATTGTGTGCTTATTGATATGTAATCAGGTTTTTCTTCCAGATTTGCTTTGATTGATATGTCATTAGCTTTTTCTTCCAAAGTTGCTTTGATATGGACCCCACTTTGGTTGCAAGCTTCGAAGGGGGGGGCAAATGCGTGCAATGGACTGGCCCTACCTGCTGATACAGACACGAGCCAATGCAAGAATATTGTAATTGCGGGTGTCCTTTTCTAAAAAAATTGGGATGATGCTGACAAGGTGCCCAGCTGCTAAGGAACCGTCTCGGGGTTCAGAGAAAGCTCACTGTTGGTCCATTTGCGCAGATCAGTTGCAGAGGTGTTCAGCTGCTTGTTTGCAAAGATGCCAGGACCTGGTTTTGAGTGAAAGCTCAGATACATCCCATCCACCATCAATTCCATATTGCTGCGGATACGCAACACTGTAACATGCAACACAAGAAATCAATCAACATCATATAATATACTAATCTACACATCCACAAAGATCACTCACGCAGCAGGTCCCTTCCATTGGGTATTGGGGTTGTTGCTGTGCATGCTCCCTCCCGCCACTACTAGCAGTACCTGGTGATTGGGCTTTGGGATTCTGGAGATTCCTGGCACCACAAAAGTGCGTTGAGAAAGGACCTGCTAGGTACTGCATCTTGTTATTTTGTTTGGCTCACACGCAGGAATTTAAAAGATTTGCAATGTCCAAGGTGTGGATTTTCAGCAGATTGGCTTGGTGTTTGGCGGTGAGCTTCTTTCACCTGACTTGGATTTTAAGACTCTGGGCACCTTGGTCGCCTTGGTCTTTTGAGTTAGCGACGAGGGAAGAAGGAGATCGCCCCTTTTGAGCCTGAAGTGGAAGATTTGGGTGAGGTGTTTGACAAGTTCCTACTTTGTGCAGGGGCAATGCCAATTTTGTCTTTGGAAGAGAGGCAGCATGCCACCGGGCCTGCACAGTGGTTCAACATGCCACAGGGGGCCATTGCGCAGGCCACGGAGGTTCATTGTCTCGTCGTGTGTTCCCTGAGCCATTTACATACGAAGCTGATGCTGAAGGCGATTTGGGTATCCACGATGAATGCACAGTGTCCTTTGTCCTCTCACAGGCAGGGTGGCTTTGCAACATTTTGCAACCATTGCTTGATACTTGCATATTTACACTTACACCCTGGAGCATGGACCTGAAAGCCACTCCATGAGAATCTTTCCAGGTGCAAGACTTTTGTTGTTCCAGTGGTCAATCGGTGTGCCGAGCTGGAGCAGTTTCTTAAGACCCACGCAGGTAGAGTCCACTCCGCGAAAGGAGAGGCTGGCGGGCCACTCTGAAGGCAACGCCCTCGCTTTCTTTCGGCGCAACCGCAACGTGCCGGGGCATTGTTTGGCCGAATCACCCTTTTGCTTGCTGCACCGCGGTGGTGTGATTTTGACTTGTGCAAAGGACTGCAGGCAATTCTTACATTCAAACACTTTTCAGGTATAGTATTCATTGCTCAAAGAAGTGAAGTGATTGTTTGCCTGATGCTGCTGCTTTGAACCTGACATCCAATGCAGCACAAAACAAGTATCAGGTTGACCTTGCGAACCTTTCCAACATGGTAAGCCATGCGTTTGATCAGTTTGTGCATGTTGCCTTGGTATGTTGCTCGCAGCTGAGAGAGCTGCTTTGACTTGTGAATCTCAATAAAAACATGCTGAATTGTCAACCTGTGATTTGCAATCCTGGACTTGGTGTTTGGATGCTTCGAAGCATTGCTGGCCTGGCTTGGTGCAATAAATGACCTGCGAAGTGCAAAGCCGAGGTGTACAAAGCGCTTGATTGCCCTCACCTGGGACAGTTCCTTAATTAAATTGGACATGAAGGAATGGACTGAATCTTATTGCCAACGTCACCTGTGAACTGATCTCGAAGAGGGATTTGAGAGCTCTAAGGTCAAGAAACAGAACAATCTCACTCCGAACTTCCGAACTCTATAATTATATATATATATACTTCATTATATCGCTCTTGGGAACCGCTGAGTGGAGCTTTGCAGAACGATCCGATCTGCAATCACGCTGGAAAGGTCCCGGTACGGCGTCAAATGCGTAGGGTCCGCAGGCGAGGAATAGAGGAATTCTTGCTTTCCAAAGTTCGACCTTTAAAGTTACATGTAGATTCCCGTGTGGCGTTGCTGTTCGTAAGGGGGGGGATCTGGAGCACCATCTGGAGGACTTGGAAGGGTCGTAGCACTACTGTGATTTTGACATTTCGTGATGGCTGAAGAGAAGCTAGATTTTAGCTACTGGCTGGATGAACTGGTTGCTGCTGATCCGTGCTCGGACCAGGACTTTTGACGGCTAAGAGTAAAGACTGGGATTGACAACTATAAGCTTAATATAAGTGACTGCAAGCAAACAACCCCTTCGCAAACTTTTTCCAGAAACTGATCGGTGCTTTTTCTATAAGGTCAGGTCAACCGCCTGGATTCAATCCGATTCGTCCACACCTCGCTGAAGTGCAACTGGACCTTCAAACGCTCGCGAGGTTGCGCCTGGCGCGGGGCACGGTGGCCAACTTCGGCCGCGAATACGCCAAGGGATGGAACTGCGACGGCTGTGAGCGCCATTTCGCTTCAGGCATTGGGGTGCGTGGGAAGGAAGGAAGGATAGTGCATGATGGTGTTGAGACAAGGGCAGAGGTGATATTGGTCAGATTCTTTTGTGCATTATGTTTCATATTATGACGATAGGAAAATGAAGGAACTTCCCTTCCAGTGCCTGTGATTCCATCTGAATCCCTTACTTCCACGGCTAGGTACACAGCTCTACCGCTGCGACTTTTGTCAGATCGACTTCTGTCAAGAATGCGCCGCGGAGTAGGAGCGCATTGGCCATGTCGCCATCCTAGGGTGAATGAGTAGGGTCCAAAGCCACAAGAAAAGAATATCATTGATTTATATTAGTTGATTTGTCAGGCTGTTGGGTGGCATCATGTGCTGACTGGAATTGATAATTAATCAAGTTAATATATAAGTCTACCTCGCTTGCGATGCATTGAGGTGCTTTTTGTTTGTGACAGCGCCAGGACTGGAGTTTGGTGTTGCCGATTTCACAACCCCAGTCTTGCAGGAGGGGCGGCGTGCCTTACAAGCATGCAGGAGCTTAGTGAGAACTGCTCCTAGAGCCGTGCTATGCCGTGCTATGTGTTTGCCCGGAATCACCCTACTTCCATTGAGCAGTATCGATGCAATTCAGTGTTTGTTAGTCCTCATGTCGAGCTGTTCGACGCTGTTCATCTCAAGATTTCAGTAAGTTCGGATGCTTTGGCATTTGAGATTTCCAAGTGCCGTTACTTCATGTACAGGGAAGCGGCGCTCAGGGGAAAAGGAACGCAGGTCAGGTCAAGCCGCCTGGTCACACAGCGCCATGCCACGCGTTGTCGCGCGGCTTAGCGGCTGGTCGGAGGGTCTTTCTTCCCCCCACGCAGGCAGAAGCGGTGTCCAACTATGGCCAACTGAAGCGCCAGAAGGGTGAGGCTGAGAAGTGGTAGAGGAAGTGACTTTTCAGTGAAGCGGAGGCTGCAGTGGAACAACATTTGAGGACCTTGTGGCAGCCATTGTGGCAGAAACAGATCGAATTGAGGGCCTCGTGGACGCTGAAGCCTCCAAAACTAGTTATGTCAAAGTAGCTTTTCTAAATTAGAAGAGGATCAGTTCAGTACATGGAGAGCCTCAATTGACTCAAGAAAGGGAGAATCCGGACACACACAATCCTCCACCCTCGAGGTGTGCCTTGTCGTTTTTGTTGAGTGTATCCTCAGCATTCCTCAGCTTCGTGCCCATATAACCCTCATCAAATGCTGGCCATGTTGTGCCAAAGGCCCGGAGCTCGCCGGACATCAACCACTGGCGTCTTCGACCTCGAGTGACGTCGGTGAAGACGTGGAAGGATTTGAGGCCGCAAAAGGAAGGCTCTTGAACAGATACGGTATATATTATATAGTATATATCAGTCATATACAGTATAGATTTTACTGTACAAAAGGCAATATTTGGACCAGAAAGCGCCTCCATTTGGATCATCCTCTGTGCTTCAGCTCCCAAGTTGCTGGGACTGCTGGGGAAGTTTGTGGAGGTGAGGTTAGCCGAATGAATGAGTGTTGTTTGTTTTGTGGTTTCTGTTTGCTTCCATAAGCTGATCCATGACCAGGTCATCCAGTTTATGTATTGTTATATGTTGATGTATCATCTTCACTGCGGAGCCCCCGTTTCGAGAAGAGTTTGTCCAACGAGTAGGTCAAGAGATCGCCTGACCCACTTTGTGGTTTGTGCCAATCCACTGGGCACCCCTTGAACTTCAATATGTCGGGAATACCCAAGTACGTCAATATACTTCAATTAATAAGCACCAAACAAGCACCGGACAAGTGCTTTCAATAAAGAAGCGGACTGGATATTACTGGAGCACTTTACATCAAGTTGAATATCTGGTTCTTTTTAGTATGACTCAAAAATTAAATATATGAAACTATGAATACCACAAATACAACAACAATTCAGTATACAACCAAATAACACAATAACATGCCAACAACCATCAATTTGTTGTCCGATCCCCTTGAAATGGTCCAACATCTACTTCCCTGGACTAGAGGCACAAGGCCATTCCCATATGTTCCCACCTCACTACCCCTGAGGCCTTCACTAGTACAACAAGCTGCGGCTGCCGCAGTGTCAGCGCAGCAGGCCGAAAGCACAGGCGCTCCCTTTGAAAAAAGGTGTTCCCGACCTCGGTTTGGCCCCTCCACCGGCCCAAATGGCTCCTCGCAAACAAAAATGTGTTACTGTTCAGACGACCGGCACCTGTTTCTCCTGCAGGTGCTCCAGACATGCGGAGGGGTCTTTCCAAAAGCTCCCTTGCTTCAAACTCGGAGGCAGGGATGGGTCGTCATGTGCGCCTATTTGGGCCGCAATGCTGCTTGCTTATGTGTGGTGTGTTTTCCACAGCGCCATGTGAAGCGTTCTGGGAAAGACGATCTTTGAGCCAGTCAGTCCAAGCTCCGAGCTGTCCTTCAGCTATACCAAAATTTGTTGAGCATGTGTCTTAAAACCCATACAAAGACCTTGCCGCGGGTCAATGTTTCCTTATTTCCAGCTACTCCCGAGGTTCGATTAGGTGTGTAGTTTTGCGCCCAACTGCCACTTGAGCATATTCAACGTGTCAAACGTGAAAACCTGAACCTGCCTTTGCATGCAAGACATCTAGCTACACACACATGTAATGAGCGCGCGGGACCTCTGGAATTGTTTAATCGATCCCTCATCACATGTAAAGTATAGGTGTACAGTTATATCCGGTGTGCTATGTTGAAAACAGTGCAAGGCTATTTGGTTCCTATCATGTGTCCGTTGGACCTCCGTCGCTGATGAGTTTGGATCCCGTGAAAGAACGGTCTATGTCTGTTGGAGTCACCGACTGTTCCGACATGGTGCAGATGCCTGATGATGCACCTGTGTTTGGGGGTTATTGTTGTATCATGGTGTTATGCTAAATGTTATTCCCTTCATAATTCATTGCTAAAGACAGGCGGGTGGGTGGGAAGATTGGCCAGAGGGCCGGCTGAATCGCAATCTGGCGCATGGAATGCCAGGAGACGCATTTGACGCCCTTTGAAAGTGTGGCTGGGGATCTCAGTATGACATCGCTGGTGTGGTGTTCAGTCCTTCACTCGCCATTGGATGCTGTTTGCTGAGTGAAATCTGCGGTGTTGCTCCTTCTGTTGCTGGACTGAGGGATGCTTCTGGCATTGCAGTTTTGTGGTTGGAGTTACCAAGCTGAAGTGCAGTTATCCAAAGGCCGTTGACTAGTCCTCCTAGCCATTGCTGGATGAAGTGCAAAACACAGTTTGTCTATGTATATATATATATATACATACGTGTGTGTGTGTGTGTTTTTTCAATGTGTTTCAATGCATTTGTTTGCGTTGCCAGTCTGCCAAGCTGCCACACAAGATATATAAATGAATTTAAATTAAGACCAATAGACTTTTGGAGGTTCAATCATGTTCATCTAACAATCTCACCCCCTTGACTTTGGGTGTTAGGAGCGTTCCCAGGTCCTAGAACGCCGCAAAGCCCGTGCAGCGCGCGCGGAGCGGGAACGGGAGCGGTGGCAGGAGCCGGAACGGGGTGCTTGTGCTGTTGTGAATGGGTTCGTACGGTAGCGTGGTGATGGTGGACATGTTGGAAGAGGTTGGAATCCAAGGGACCCGATGGGGTGCGTATTATACGCTTATATAAGAGTTCAGCCGGAACTCATGGAGTTTTTTCTCCTGAGCTGCAGCGTAGAGTCGTTTTTGATCTTGCTTGCTTTAATCATGAGCATCGCCAGGAGGCAGCACTTCCAAAGCAAGACGCGGAGACCATTGACAGTGCCAGGCGCATGCAACAGAACCGTGCCTTGCACGAGAGTTACTCTTACAGTACCCTTGGCGAATGTGTCCGGTATCCTTCTCGACCTCGAGTTGGAAATGTCCGAGACGTATCGTTTCACAGAATGTACAGCTTCAAACAGGGGCTTGGCTTCTCAGCTATGGATTGAGCTTGCACTGGTTGAAGCTAGAGTGGCAGTCCTGTTGCTTTTTCTCGGCCAACTTGATTCATTTTGGAACGTTCACAGCGTCCTTAAGATAGAATGTCCCGCCCAAGAAAAGTGGGCGCCAAACCTGACTGGGCATTACCAAGTATCAGCATGGACATGCTCACAAGCAGCATCAGCATATGCACCCGCACACACACACACACACACACCCGTGTTACCTATTGTGCGTCAATGACAGTGTTTGTCAGTGTGATTTGTGGACGACATTGGGGTGAACAACGAAAACATTGCCAAACTGTAGTTTTATATATATATATACACAGTATACCGCCTACGTAACAAGTCAATGAACTCGATTGACGTTCCTTTTTGTTTAGATTCATGCAAGAATTTCTGCAACTGTGATACAGGCCGCCAACTCCCTCCTACCCTTCGCCATTCAAAGAGCTGCTTTGTCGCGAGCACACGGGTCTCGTGCCGGGCGATGCTGTGATATGTTTGATTGTTTTGAATTTTGAATATTGTTTGGTGGATGCGTCCAACATGGTTTACACACAGATAATTACTTGTAGTTTACCGATATTGGTATATACTTGTGCTTTAGTGCTATATAAGGCTATATATGTGTTTTTGGAGCTGCACCGCCTGAGAGACCTGTGAGTCACGAATCTCAGAAGTTGGCTTGTGCAAGATGTGACCACAAAGTGCCCAACGCAAAGGTGTTACTAAGGCCATGAGTTGGTAGCAGACCTATATAGGTGTTGAGCTCCAATATTCCCTACTAGCCTACTACTGGCTGGAGGCTAAATCGTCAAATACAGGGGTCCATTCTTTTTCAGAGTCCAGTTGAGGAACGTAGCGGTTGAAATATTGCTTGATTATGGCCTTTTAAGCCTTGCCAACCATCAAATATCGAAATGAGAAGAGTTGGACCCTGGACCCTGATGTGTTTTGTGCCGATGAATTGGGCTTCACAATTGACTAATGTGGATTGCCAGGCCAGCATCATGTCAATGTTGATGTTTTGGCTTACAGAATGCCCCATGCGTCCTGTTTTGTGAGCCCTTGCCACATGCATCCTTTTCCATACAGTCCCCAGGTGGACTATCGAGGACTATGAAGAAAAGCCGTAAAGTTTCAAGGTAGGACTCAGCCCCACCTGCCACCAAGCGAAAGATGCTTTGGGTTTGTTTCGATCAGCCTTTAAGTGAAGGCTTCGTTGCTACACCACCTCCGCCTGAGGCAGCCGGCGCCGCCGCCCATGCCGCCGGAGTGGAGCAAGGGCCTTTGGGAGCAGCGGAAGCGCGAGCTCGCGGAGGAACGCCGGAAGCGTGAGGCCACGCTGGGCTCACCGGGTCGGATTTGGGTTCCGATCGGTCGGATCGAGATGGGGGATCCAATGAAGGTCATGAACTCATATGACTCATATATGTTTGGTTGTTCTATAATTTTGCAAATGACCTCCCATTGTTTCGGTGGACACGGGACGTTGAGCTTCTATGAGGAGTTGAAGCAGAGACTTGGGAAGAATGCAGAGGTTTGAAGGTTGAAGCAGCCCCCTGCATCACTAATATAAGACAAATTATACAGAAACTACTGCAGTGATTGGACCTTGGGATTTGCAAGTGGCAATCACATCACATGCTGGGGCGGATGGAGGAAGACACTTTTGCAGTAAGTGTCTTGTTGTGGCAGTGGTGGACTTGCGAAGGATCCGCAAATGGTGTGGCAACTTAGAAAGGGGGACACGGACTCGGACTAAGACTGCTTGGTGTCCTTCGGTGCTTTTCAGACGTGAAAACCGGTGAACACCTGCGCGTGGGGAGAATATGGAAGAATGCTGAGAGCCAAAGTATATAATTTAATCTCTTTGCCTTTCTGATACCTTTCCATTTGTGATGCGACGCAGTTTTGCAATCATAATCTTACAGTTTTCTATCGGCCCGTACCTGTATGACTTTCTTGCCGCCGCGACATCGCATTGTTGAATCAGTGCACGCCACCCACTCCATATCTCGATTGATCAACCACAGTCCAGTGGTCTGAAGCCCTTCGTCTCGAATGGCCCCCGGCACCGGTGCTTCCGCCGAACGGAGTCCCACCAGGCCGAACGCGACCACGGCTCGCCGCCACCGGTGCCGCCGCGCGTGCCACGGGGCGGTGCACCGGTGCACGGCACGCACCGGGCTCACGTGCCGCCCGAGGAGCGAGCCGCAACGGTGAGAGTGGGTACATGTGGGCGAGCCGCACCATGGCATCGTGACCTGGAAGCCAAGAGGTGGGTGACCTGTCCCAAAGGTGACCCATAAAGCAGACGGAACACACTGAAACAAAGGCAGAGAGAGAGAGAGACAGTTGAACTGGATTGAACTGGCATGTTCAAAGCTGTTGAAAGAAAACAAACGGTGCGGTGCGACAGGATGTACCAGCCCCCTGGCGACCCTGGCGATGTCCCATCTTCCCCACCTGGACGAAGCCAGAGGTCCGGGATGACATGGGATGACATGGGATGTTAGACACCGGCGTTCTGAGACGCGGCAGTGGAAGACCTGAACAAAAACGCAAATAAACAAAACAGACCCTGAAGAAGAAGAGGATGTTCCTTGAGAAAGAGAAGTGTTCAGGATCCATTCAGGATCCATATTGAGTTGGCATGGGTGTCCTTGTTCCAGGTGTGTGGCCTTGCCTCAGCTCGGCTAATTAGCTTTGGAGCTTCACCTGAGGTGTTTTTATTTGGAACAACACTTCCAGTTCCCCCACTGTGCCTTCTTCCACAGGGCCGACCCGAGCCCGTGGATTCGCCCTGTACGGGGCCGTCAGCAGGCGGGAGTTGATGCCGGCAGGAGGGGAGGAAGAGAGACCAGTGCTGGAGCAGGAGATTGGACATTCAAAGAACCCCCAGGCTTCAATTACCTTAATCATATAAATATACTATTAGTTAGATTTAACTTAACTAGATGTGCTGATTTTGTTTTTAACCAATATCCAGGCGTCCCCAGGTCCGGAATTGCTGAGACACCTAAGGACATGATAAAAGCTGAAACAGATCGATCTTTATATAACAGAAACGGTAATGTGACATGATAAGTGCATGGCATGTGTGTTCCCTTGGCTGTTTGTTTGCTTTTTGAGTGTTCGTCGAGTTTAGCCCTTGAAACGATAGAAACCTTTCACACATCATTTAAAACACAAACGATGACCTACGTATGCAAAGACTCACTTGGGGGGACCTGTCCACTTTGAAGTCGGCATGGTGCTGAAACATTTGTTCAGTTTTTACAGTGAGAGTTGCTGACAGTGTAGCCTGAGTTTTGCAGATGCTTCGGACAACCATGCTTGACAACCATGCTAACAATAGTGTACACCAATTAAAGACTCGTCCCGTATTGTCAGAGCCCTGCCAAAAAGGTAAGAGTCAAGAAAAACGATTGCTTTTCCCCCAGGGAACGACTACGTTCAATTTACTCAATACTCTCCAAATCTTCACCTGCATCCGCCTCAACACTCACTGGGTGAGAGATGGTGGCGATGTGATGTCCATTGTGAGAACGTGGATCGGGTGCAGTCTGGGTCAGTCTCAGAGCTGAAGGTTTCTCCATGTTGCCCGGATGTCACAGCGAGAAGTCAATGAACTCAGGATGTGTTTTGTGGAACCACTTTCACCAATTCAGCCGGGGCTCGTGTATGATTCGTGGAGCAGGCTGAACAACTCTTGCCGGATCATTTGAACATCAGACCATCCCCGAATTGTACGGCACTACAGGGCCTCACAGCAATTCCAAATATCTCAGCACTGCGGAATGCCGTGCACAGCGCGGTCCAAGGTCCGCGATATATAGTTTCTCATGGCAGTTCCATGTGCTTGGCCCTTTCATGGCCAACGTTGCTCACCACAACCTGGGAGCCATACTCCTCGAATCGAACCCTGACTGGCTGGTGATTTAGAGGGAACAATAGTAATAATCTGAAGGGGCATCAAAGTTCCCCAGTCAAAAACAAGCCAGAAGCTACAGTTTTTTGCAAGTTAAACCTAGGGTGCATGGTCCTTAAGTATATAGTCTTTTTCTGAGTTTCTTCCCACATGAGGAGCCCCCACAAACCGTAGCAACTGAAACTTGACGCAGATGTCTGCTCCACCACCCCGTTTCCAGCGAGGCCCACCTGCTGGAAGAGCACCCTGGAACTGGGGCAGCAACCTCTTTGGAAGCGACTTGGGCGGTGTCATGGGTGCGGTGGAACGGCCGGACCCACTGGGCGAGATCGGCACACGCGTGGTGTGAAAAATGCACGGACCAAGGGCCTAAGATAAGACAAGGGTTTTTGGTTGTGTACTTGTTTGATTGCAGGAAATGGATGTATGATATCTATGGAAGGTGGATGATAGGAAGACTTGAGGATTCTGCTGGTGGTTTTGAGGTTCATTCGGATGAACTTCCGAACTGTGGATATCTGTGGATATGATATCCTCGCAAACCCTCACAATCTCCACTTCATGGAATAGCTTTCGGCAAGAAGGAGCCCAAAAGAACAAATTGCTTGAGGAAGAGCATGGAAACAGCCGCCAGTTACAACTAATCATAGCCGCTATCCTTAAGATATATTGTCTAGCAAATCCCACAAGTTGATAGATGATAGAGCCAAGATGCATGGTCTATGTCATATGGGTATGAGTGCAAGAAATGGTTTTGCAGGACAGCTGTAAATGTTCGATGTGATTCAAAGAGGTTCAAGAAAGACTTTACGTGCAAACTGCCCCAGCCAAGTCCAAGTTTTGCTGGCTGGACCACCTCAAGGCTTGCTAGAACACAGGGCCTCATTGCTAGCCGCTGCTATCCCTTTGGATAAAGTCGAGTTCCGCAACTGCGCAGGATTCCGCAACTAGGGTTCCGCAACTGTTTGGTCGGATTCCGCAACTGGGATTCCGAAACTAGGATTCCGCAACGTTGTGGACCCCCTCACTAGGATTCCGCAACTTTGTGAATGATGAGGGATGTCAAGATCACACGATGGGACAAGGGGGGGTTGGGTGGGGGGCTAATGACGTTGGTTTGGATGTGCTTCGAAGGTGATGTCACAGGCACACACGCTATCGCATGATGTGGAGATCACCAGTTGCAAGTTTCAGAAGGCAAGTTGCAGAATCTGACTTTCCAGTTTCAGAATACCAGTTGCAGAATCTCAGTTTCAGAATCCTAGTTTCAGAACCCCAGTTTCAGAATCCTAGTTTCAGAACACCAGTTTCAGAATACCAGTTTCAGAATCCTAGTTTCAGAACCCTAGTTTCAGAACCCCAGTTTCAGAACCCTAGTTTCAGAATCCGACCGATTAGTTTCCGAATCCGGCTCTAACCCTATCCCTTTTTGGGAGGTGGAGGTGGATGCTGATGGGATCTGATCAGACGCGATTACCAACTGATGTTCATGAGATGCACTTGAAGGACGCTGTTTCACTGCATGCCCTGGAACTAACATGGAAATGGATGGCATTCCCCCAAAAGACTCAGACAACTTTCCTTTACAAACTAAGTGGGGCTTTCCACTTCCATGTTAAAGGGAAAGTCCAAGTACAGTAGCTGGACTCCAGGTGGACACCCATGTTATCCATTACTAACCACTATGGTTTTTGGTGGACTCGGACCGGCAGCATCGGCCACCGGCAGCACCGGCTTGATCCAAGGTAGCAAGGTCAAGCCTTTGATCGAGGCGCCGATGTTGCGCTCCGATTTGTGCTGTGGCGGCTTCGTGTTGGCGGCGTTTTGCGTGCCATTTGGATGAAATTGGCTGAATCAATTGGGTGCCACATGGTGCTCCTAGTGACATGTACTTGAACAGGATGGAGCTTTTGGCGCACTAACAGCGATTGAGAATCAGTAGGCATTCGACATGGTTGGGTGGAATTGGCCTACTCAAGAATTGATAACTTGGGAAGGCACAATGCGAGAAAACAGCTCGACGAACGCAAGAGCTCATTGCAACTTGGCCGTGGAATCAGAGGGGGCAAATAGACTTAAATATGCTGAAGCAGGGTGTCGAGGCGTGTGCCATGTTTCATTATGTTTCAGAATGAGGCACCCATGCCTTTGGATGTTATGTTATGTTATGTTTATAGTTTCACTGGGATGGTCCAAACGATGATGCCCTGCGAGTGGCCCGGTGGCAGAAAAGCCGTTGGCAGTTGGGCCTTGGGCGAGGCAACGGAACTAAGGTTGGGGATATGTTCTTACCAAACTGGGGGAGCAGGGTTTCCACCCCCTCATTCACGGTGGCTGGAAAAATCTGGTAAGCCCGGCAGCATTGAGGTGACAGTCAGGACGACATGATTTTCCACGAAAGTGCTTGAAGTCACTGTTTCAGCGGGTATTTAAGACCATCGATGGACGGTCTTGGGCCTGTAGAAACTGCTTCCTACCTGTGTGGCCTGATGACTGGGGTCACCGTATGCGCTCCCAACCTCACCGTTGCACCATGCCATCCGGGGCCTAAGGAACAACAAGCTACTAGAAATCGAAACGCGTTTCTTTTTTGCATCTCCAGGCAGAGCTCGAAGCCCAGATGGCCAAGACGCGGCCGTTGCCGTTAGAGGCTGGATCCGGTTTTGAAGGTGATTCTCAGAGACTCAGTGGAACAGAAAAGGCATGCACTCTGACTCACTAACATGGAAGTGTAAAGCCCCCTGTTGGTACAAGAAAGTCGTTTTCCTTTTGGGACTATGTTCCACGTTCATGTGTTCGTCAGAGTGTAGATCTGGCATGTATGGGTCACCGAAGGTCACCGGTGAGCACCCCAACCGTTCTCCACACGGGACCGGTGTGTTTGGAACGACCTGCCTTTTCTCCACGTTCGACTTGGCCCTCATGCAGGGACCGGTTACTGTACCCAACAATGAAGAGCCAAATGCAACACGAGCAGGGAATTGGTCAGGGTCCTTGTCATAGTGCGGTCGGGTCACTTCCGGCTCCGTAGAGGCAGGATGCGAAGCAAGCCGTTGCATGGCATGATCAAGCATGGCTTCATTGTAGAGGGCAACATCCCATTAGCTGTTGCTGTGCCAAACCACAGAAGGTTGCTTTCGGATGTTTTGGTGCAACAGTGAGAAAGAAGATGTGAACCAGTGCTGTGCGTGCCAGAGCTTGCAAGAGGATGGTTTATGGAAGGATTTGGGTGTTTAACGGCAATAATTTGTGCTGGTGATATTTGGGACTTCCAGGATTGTGGTGCGGTGTTTGCGAGTTTTGCGTTGCCGATAGCTTCCAGGAGCGCAAGAGAGTCTTCAAGGACCTTCAGCGTGGCTCGGCCTTGGCGACACACCACATCCAATTGCAGTGTTTAGCTAGGGCATGATTGGTCCAAAGCTCAACAGACAGAAGAAAAACATAGAAAAACTACATAGATAGACAATAGACAATAGATATGATCACATAACAAATTAAAGTTCTATTTGAACCCGCTTTGTGGTCTTGAAGACGCCAGATCACCCTAAACAGGCATCCGCAGGTGCGAGCACTGCTGGCCCTCCAACCACTGCAGTGGTGACCGTTCAACGGTTTGGACTCGTCCAAGCTGTGTTATTAAAATACTCTATACCAGCAATTCCAGGCCAACTAGCAACAGCTGCCCATCATGTCCCATCAGAAGAAAAGATCATACCAAAAAAAGTAGCTCGGCGTGTGGAACGCGAAAGCTCAAGCCGCACAGAAGTCGAGCCTGAAAACCTTTGAAGCACCTTCATTGGAAGCCTACAATCTTTCTTTCTCATGTCCGTGAAATCCAAGAACCCATGTGATGTTCAAAAGCTGGGAGAGTGAAACTGTGGGATGTTGGTGGGGTGGGCCCACCAGCTCGTACTCATCCAATTTTATTATTGAATGATAAACGGTGGAAGTGTCAAACTTTGGGCAGCAAGATCTATTTTTGGAACTTGAATCATAATGTTGGATCTTGAATAGTATAAACCGTCCCGCCTCTCTAGCAAACAACCGGGGTGTTTGAATAGAAGCACTACCCGTACCACCAAAAGTAGCAGCAGCAGTAGTAGTAGTCGCAGTAGGAGTAGGTGAAGTAGCAGGAGTAGAAGCAGTAATAGTAGTAGTCGTCGCAGCAGTGGTAGTGGTAGTGGATGTATCTCGGTCAAACAAAACGTTTTGCTATTCCCAACCCGTAAACAATTCGTACCATTCACTTCCCCTGGGCTTGTGCACTACCGATAAACAATTGGAGCAATAGAATCGATCAGTTTTTATAAGGGTCTTTGAAACAGGTTTTCAGGTAAGATTTCCATGAACCAAGTAAACCTCACAAAATCTAAGCAAGGATCTTACGGGGCAGCAATAGCAGAACAATAGAACAGTAAGTGTTATTTTTGTTCCAAGCCTCCAAGTCTACTTATTAATCCCATCCCCTAAACAAGTACTTTTTCAAAAAGTGCACAAGCCCCTTGAAATATGTTTGGAGCAATGCAATCTTTGAGTTTTAATAAACAGGTGACCAGGTCAGAATTCCATGAGTCAAGCAAACCTCAGAAGAACAGAAGAGTTGAGTAAAGATTCTAAACGGCAGCAACAGCAGCACAATAGAACATCAAAAACAAAACACGATGCAAAAATGTAACACATGTTTGTATTATTCCATCCCATTGAACTTCAGAACTGTTCAGGGTGTGGGAATAATTCTACGAACACTTTTTAATATTCCCTCGCATTATACTAATCAGGATCCAACATTACAATATATCACCAAGTTTTCACGTGCAGCTGAGGCCGATTTCACCCAGCCACGCTCTAAGATCTGGGTCTTGGTCAAGCGTAGGACAGGAAGAAGCATGATTTGGGCAGGCATTGAGGTACTCGTAGGTCAAGCCTCCCCCGAATGTGGGCAAAACATAATTGACTGATCCACCAAGATTGGAGTGATGTAGAGTGCAAATGTGGGGACGCCACCCCGACCAAGGATAAGAATCTATTGGAAGAAGAATCTGCCTGGACCCTCAGAATCCACCAACTTTCGCCGACAGTGCCCTCATCGGTGCGCCGAAGTTCGAACTCTTGGCATCTCAGGCGACCCTTGCTTTTCAACATCTCATGGATAGCCGCAGCACACCCAGCTCACAGTGCTTGAGGGCTTGGCAGGGCTCCTGGAATTCCATCAAATTTGAACATCGTGCTGCCGAGGCCATACCTATTTACACGCGGCATAGGCTGGGAGCAAATCGGGGAGGGGAAGAAGGAGCGTCATCACCATCATCTCATATCATCTCATGAGCATCTTCAGCTCCTTTTCGCGTTCACGGCATGTGGCACCACTTTTGCTTCGGCACGCTCACGCTTGGTGAGGTTCCAATGATCAGGGAAGTTGCTTCGAACGAGTGCCGGGCAAGTCATCGGTGTCCAATGTCAAGCCAGGTCTGAAGACCTTCTCCCGCGTTTCTTTCTTTTTGTGTTTCTGTGCCCACCCATGCCACAACAAAAAGATAATGTGGATGACTACCTTTGGTGGCATGATGCGTGCACCGGCAAGCAGCTGTTTGACGCTGATGACAAGCCGGTCAGGAAGTGAGAGAGGAAGTGAGGCAGTCGGAGATGGCACCTCCGAGGACTTCACCGATGAAGTTTTTTCTCTACCTCACAACTCAGACTCAAAAGATCCATGTTCATGAAGTGTCACATGTCCAAGCAGTGTCACATCGCCAAGAGTGGCACAAAACACACGACATGCAAGCGATGCTGCAGATGGGTGCGATGATGCTATTAACAGCTCTGCCGCGGTGGCATAGCCCACCGGGAGATAGGCCAAATGGCCAGAGGAGGTCGGCGACGGATGTGCTGAAGACAAAAAACAGTCGACTAAGGGCCTGAACGTCTCTTGGCTCCAGACTCATACCTCTGACCCATACAGTAGTTTCTCCGTTTCTCTTTGCTGATTCAAACTTGTGTCAGTTCACGATTGCAACCGGAGGAACTGACAACTCATCTAGTCCCAATAATGTGTTGGTTGTGGTTTTCAGGTCGCCATCAAGTCTGGCCCGTTCAGCGTCCGCCAAAGATGTGGGCTGTAGTCGGAGGACGGGCCTCACAGACCCTCAAAGAAGTCCTTTGCCATTGTCATAGATGCCGGCAATTTTCAGCCTTTTTTGGTACCATGCGTAAGTTGTGCAGATTTGAACTGGAGATCCACGATGTCTAAGATTGCATCATTGAACACTCTGCTGGACACTGCGCTTTTGCAGCGTGCGGGATCAGGAGGTCCGTTGCTTTCGTCCAGTCGGAAGTTTACCACGCTCTGTCGAAGCAGAGGCGTCCTGGTTAAGGCGTTGAATTCAAGTGGGCAACCCCAAGCCCTCACATCCGATTTGTACAGTTAAGGCGCCGTTTACTGTGACTTGGGACTAAGTTTGCCCGTCACTTGACCAGTTGCTTTGACTGGAAGAGGGCGCCCAAGGGCGGGTGGGCGGTGACTTGGTGGGGCTTGGGCACAGTTCGGACCGCCCTTCCACGTGGCCTGAGGTTTGCAAGGCTCTGATCTAAACCATATCAGCCCCTCCCTGCACTGACATGGCTGACGAACGTATTCATTCAAGGCTCTGGATGAACGTAGCGACGGACGCACTGTGTTTGAAGGTACCCCTGGTTTCGCTCACCCGGCACTCGCTTCTTCCAGCACCTGCACCGCCTGAGGCGAGCTTCCCCACCCGGTGGCAGATCCGACAGTCAGTCGCGGGCCGGAGTTCCCTTGGACTGGTGGGAGTTCCCTTGTGCATGTACTTGGGGAGGGGAGGAATAGGTGCACAACTGATGTGAAGATTGGACCACGTAACATAGTACTCTAACTCCAATCTTTTTTTACGACATGCTTCACATGTTCAGTCTTTTGCTAACGTCGTAAAATCCTGGACACCAAGACGCTCATGAACATTCATGAACCATAAACCCTGATGCTTGTGAAGGACACTGACAGATATTTGATACATTCTTCCCAGGCTTTGACCGATGTCCTTCCACGGCCACAGGCATGTCACAATGTCCGGACCTTTTGGGACTCCTTGCATCCTTGGCTCGAGCTTTGAAGCTCACAAAGAGGGGTTTTGAATTAGATGCGGCGATGCGGTCCTGGCCACAGACAAGCACATCACAGCACCTATTTCGGGAAGGCAGCCATGGCACGGATGCCAGAGCAAACTCACCCTTGGAGCACGCAGAAGGCTATATCATATATACCAATCATCATGCGCAACGAAAAGGTTTGTTCCATGCACATGTGTCGTCATGCGAGTCTCATGTAACAAGTGCATGGTAGTTTGGTCACCATGTAGATGTTTTGGAGTCAGCAGCATTTGCCATAAGGATTGACTATCAGACTATCACAAGACCACTGCATGTCGCCCAGCTGCCACACTAAAGGGGCCCAACTGGTTGAAAGATACCAGATAAAAAAATACTGAAAAAATACAAAAACATACAAACACATGTTACATGTTCCTTGGCAGTTGCAGTATCTTGTAGTTTTGAGTGTGGGAGAAACCTTATGAAACCACCCCCCGAGCCCCACTGCCACCCGCCTTCATCCACTCAGAAGAAACTCAACCATTGTCCACCACGCACGGTTCCTGCGCACGGTTCGCGCCGTGAAAAACTCGCCATGTTTCTGGATCACGAGTCGCCGTTGCTACAGCCCAGCAGCCCTCCGGAGCCACTGCCACGCTTGGACTTGGCCAATGGCTCGGCGTCCGCAGGGGAGTCGCTGGAGCCGCTGGAGCCCGTGGAAAGCAGGCGCGTCCAAGGTGATGGCGTGCATCGATGTCTTGGAAGATGATGGTCCTCTTTCATCCTCTTTCAAATTTGAAAAGTGGTTGGCTCCATTGCTCATGTTTATGGTGCCAATCAGGATGAATCAGGTGCATGTGGGGAATGATCCTTTGAAGAATCTCAGACATTCACCGCGGCAATCATTTGTGGCACCTGAAGTTATGACCACGATACATTAGTCGACCTGACAAGAGACGTTTCAAGGAGGTGGACACTGAGTGGTGGTTGGTTTTGGTCCTGATTCGAGCCTCTCCTGAAGGCTTTTGTGCATGCCATATAGAAGCCTTAACTTATGGCTGCTTGATTTCCATCCCAGCCTACAGTCTTCCACATGAGCAGACCGTACCAGAAAAGATCAGAAAAGCACCTTTGGATGGAGCTGTTCTTTGGGTAGTTCGGGTGCGGTAGGAACAAAGCTGGGCTCCCGAGCAGCGAGAAATGAAGTTGTCCATACATTGGGTTTGTCCTATAATTTCCTGTAACAGTCAGTAAGCAAGTATCACTATCACTATTGTTGAACAAGGCCTTTACTAACCATCACCATCCACTGTTACAGGCAGTAGGATAGATCCAATCCACATGTCACATGAACCATCATGAATCCATCATGTTTTTGGCCAGGATTGACATGGTCTTCGCGCAGAGTGGATCATTAGGTGTCACGGCCGCAGTTGTAGCACACCGAAACCGGGCGTTTTGCAATGACCTCACGGCAACTCACAGCACCTTCACGGAATCTATGGGGAGGTTCAGCACCTTTGGGCTAAGACACGTCGAATCATCTCAGCTTTAGAGAGCCGAGTGGTATGGAACCCACACAACTTGGCCCACAACTTTTATAACTTTGCTACTCGGCAACATTCAGCAACACTTCTTCCTGTGCAATGAAAGGAGAGTCAGAAAAGACGGGCCAACACCTAGAGGTCCCGATTGAAACAGATCACTTTGACTTTGACATGATTATAGACATGCCATGAAACACCAATGGTCCCCTGTCTCAAATCCGGGTTTTCTTTTTCGAACAGATGCCTCGATGCTTCCCAGGTATCGAGTTCAAAGAGTTGGAGGCACCCTTTGTGGTGGAACAGGTGCATGAACACGGCTTGGCGCCTTGATCGGAACGGGCGGGATGAGCATGAGGGCCCTGGTTTAAACAAGTGACTTGTCGAAACTTTGTAACTCAACCTCGTAGGCTGCGTAGCTAGATTCATTGTAAGATTGTAGCCAATTAACTATATGATGTGTAGTTTATATATGTATCTAAATTTCTATGTTATGATATAGTATATGTTTTTTTTGTTTTTTTATCAGTGAGTTAGTACACGTAAATATTGAATTGCAAGGGCATGACAGGAAGGAAAGAGTCCACTGGTGTTCTTGGTTGCTGTTGACTTGTGTACCTCACATCTATAATATATTATATATACACATTGTTCTATTCAGTAGATATACAGGTACACAACATATCGTTTAATGGAGGCGTTTGCTTGGTCCCGCTGAGGCTTATGGCCAGGATTTGCGCCATGGAGATCAACTGATCTTGGTCGACGGAGATGCTTGGCACTGCATGGAGACGGCTCATCGACTGCGCATGATGGAGACGGCCAGTTCATTCTGTTTGATGAGCCGAAGTCGATGTGCAGTTTGATTTCTCCAAATCGGTGTCACCAAGGAAGAGATTGGCCAGGCCAAATGGGATGACCTGGTGAAGAAGCTCACAAGGAGGCCCAGCCAATAAACCAGGATAACTTGGTGATGTATGTGGGCGTGGTATTGGAAGAGGGAAAACATCACCTCCAGGCTATAGTTCACGTTATTCCTGCAGCTCCTTGGGGGATTTCAATACACCTATTTGTGCAGGATGATGCAGGTCCCAGATGCTAGTGAAGCGGCATCATGGTCCACCATCAACCATTTTGGACACTTTCAGGCTGTTGAGTTGACGCTTCAATCGCTTGGGTTGCTGGAGTCGTCGGGAAATCCTTGGCACTTCAGCCACGTTGCCCCATCAATGCACCCTGTCCAAATTGGACCTGGCCTTCCAAACGAGGGCTGAGCCATTTTGTTTTTTGACCTGGTTGACCCGCCCGCGGGCCCCAGGCCGGTGAGGGTCACCTTCCGCCGCAGTCCTCCGCCGGTGGACACGGCCCCAGCACTTCCAGACCTGGGCCTTGGGAAGCTTTTCTCGGCAGCCCAAGGCGCAGGGGGACCTGTCCTTGGCGTCAACGTTTTGGCGACATCGTTTTGGGACGGAATCAGATGTCGTGGCGTGGAATCGTGGAACATGTGGCCAGCTCAATCAGACGGCGCAGAGAAGCAAAGCACTTCGACACTCGAAACCTCAAAGAGATCACATGTACTGTACTTGCCGGTCATAGTATATATTATACATAGT